GTGTAGCTTTTCTAGAGCTCCCGCCCAGTAATTGTAAAACTCTAGTTGTGAGCAAACTTCTGTGACAATCCTCATTCATTCAGTAGCTAAACTAGCACTTGCCCTTTGCTGAGAAGATTTATCTTTAAACAGCCCCCGCCACAGTGGTAGGGCTAACACGGCTGTAAACTCGGTCTCTCTCCAGAGTCAGCTGTGTCCAGTGTTTGGAGATCACAGAGGTCAGTGCTGCTGGGGGCCACTCGAAGCCCCCCCCTGTTCCTCTCGACAGTCGTGGAACTTTTGCCTCTGCCTACACTGACCGCTGTTTGCTTTAAATCTGTTACAGGTTTAATGCTTGTTCATAACAAGCTGGTGGACCCCCTGTACAGTATCAAGGAGAAGGAAGTTGAGAAGAGCCAGGCTGCCAAGAAGCCATACAGCGACTAGCTTGTGCCAAGCCACTGAGTACGTCTGAGGGACGCGAGCAGGTCTTTCTGGACATTGTAAGAGAGTAGAACTAACTGGTTTCAGTCCGTATGGCTGCGGCAGGTCCTTGGCTAGGCGCACACTGTCTGGGAGTTTAGCTATGGGGAACTTTGTAGCCCAAGTTTCTCTGGTCCCGCCTGGCCCCGCAGTCCTGCAGCCGCTTATAAAATAATTGTTCAGAGGCTTAATGTTAATTGCGAATTATGTGGCCTACAGGCCAGGCTTCTTGCTAGCTAGCTCTTATAACTTAATTCAACCCATTTCTGTTAATCTATATGCTGCCACGTGGCCATGGAGTTACCGGTCTGCTGGCATCTTGTTCCTCCTTCGTTGGCAGGCTGGCATCTCCTAGGCTCCACCCTTCTTCTCTGGGCTTCAGTGTGAATGCACTGCCTCGCCTTATCCTGCCCTGCCTCACCTTATCCTGCCCTGCCTCTGGGCCTAGAGTCTCCCAGGCACTTTTCCCTGTGTCCTGTAGAAGGTCTAGCAGTCTCTGTGAAGCAGGAACCTGAAGGACCATTTCACCTTGTTTTGGCTAAATTCAGTGATCATTTTCCTATGGGCCCTGTATGTCCAGTTTATACAACATATTATCAAGCAGTCCAGGCAGGAGCAGTTTCTTGGCCATAAAGAAAGCAAACTCCATATGGAGTTTCTTCAGTGCCCATCATCTTCTTTGAAGTAATTGGTGCTGTCAGGAGCAGACATGTCTCACTGTCCAGAGAAGTCTAAGTTTTTAAAACGTATAACTTTCGCCCTTCTTTTGCAGTACTGGGGTTTGAACCCAGGGCCTTGCACATGCCGGACAAGTGCTCTACTAACTGGGCTATGTCCCCAAGCTTCTGCCCCTTTTATGATTTTTTTGTAACAATAGAGATCTCCATCATTG